TCTGTCTGAGTTTATTAATAATAATAATTCCACACATCTCACACACCATAGTCTGATAGTCTGTATTGTATGTACATATTTAGAAATATATAAGTACTAGCTGACCCGACAAACGTTGTTTTGCCATATATATTATTTTTAAAAATTAGGGGTGGGTCACCCTTGTCATAGGGGTTTGAAAAATAGATGTTGGCCGATTCTCAGACCTACCCGATGTGCACACAAAATTTTATAAAAATCGGTCCAGCCGTGTCGGAGGAGTATGGTAACTAACATTGTGACACGAGAATTTTATATATAAGATTTTTATCACCGTACGTGGGGAAGTAAAGCTATGCCACAAATGGGCAACGGAGTGATACCACGGCTTCACAGAAAACCACAGTATTATGTAATTATCCTCTAAAAAATATGTGCAGATCGACCTTTTTTTGATCTTCATCATTTAGGTATATCAACGGCAAAAAATATAAAATTAATCTATTACACTGAAACCAGTGTGATAGATTATTTTATGGGTTTTTGCGATATGGTAGTTCAAAGAGAAGTTGCTTAAACACCCCAAATCATTTTTGCCACATATGTGTAGAATTTATGTTAGAAGAATATCAGAGTTTTAAAAATGCCGCTTTACTACCTACCTCGGGATAAAAATGACAAGTCTTGAGCTCCCGATTGTATACTGAAAATCGTCTGTTGAATATTTAAGATTATGGGCAAGGCGACCAAAACAGTAGTTTTAGATTTGAAACACGAACCATTTTGTTGTAGTTAAACCACCAACACACCACAACCTCTGAGGAGCGTTTAAAGGAATATGATTTCTGACTATTGCTGGAGCCTTATGTGCCATTAGGGAAAAGACACATAAGAGAAGCTAAGTTTTTAAACCTTAATAATTGAATTTATTTTTTTAATGATAATATTGTTTCCTAGTTAATACTTGTATTTTACATTTTGACCGTAACTACCCGGAACTCTTAAACTAGGGCTGATGAAAAAAAATTACTTATACTAGCAAATCATATGTAGTGGGCAACAGCAAAAAAAATATTGGCCACAGATGCACTGTAAACTAGTGATATCATTCAGAACCTAATTACTTGTGATCTTTGACCATGTTTTAAATGCTGTCGGTGTTTGGACACATCTAATCGATTACGGTAAAGCATACCACAATCGGATAGTCTGTACAGTACAGACTAAGTATTTATCTCAAAAGTTGAGTCAGTTTTATTTATCTTACTAATTTTATAAATGCAAGTATATTGGTGAGCGGATGACCCTAACCTGGTCACTAAGTTTACAGGATGGGCGTACAAATAATTCTGTGAAAAAGATAGCTCTCCTTTTAGGGTTCTAACAGCCATCTTTTTTCTAGGGTATACTTCCCGTTTAGTTCCATTCAAATTTGAATAAAAATACTACTACTAAGAGTGAAAAATTAAGGTTGAATTAAGAATACGGAGTGTAACAAACCCTATTCATGCCTTGCGTGTCGTACGAGCCGACTAAGAGAGCAAACTACGCAGGACAACAACATTGCAAATAGGAGGAAAACTTAACACAAATCCTCTACCAAACTGTCTGCATGGTATAGTACTTAGGCCAAACCCTCCTTTCTAAGGAGAGGTCTATGTCCAGCAGTGGACTATTAAAGGCTGTTGATGATGATGATGATAATAAGTTTTTACTGAACTGAGTTGAGTTGAGGAAATAATGACATTTAATTGTTATATAAACAAGCACACTTTTCAGCTTTAAAAATATATCAGTATAGAATCAACATGACGCTACGTTTCTCTTAAGCTCAATAATAAATACAATTAAAGGGTTTCATGTAAATTAAATTAACAATATGCGTAGGTATTCCACGACTTATACACTAGTGGTTTGGGTTGAAATAATATCACAATCACCTGTGATAAATTATATGATTCTAAGTCATGATATCAAGTCTGTGACTAATTTACATAACTACTGCTGCTTATTACTATTATTACGCTGACGCCAGACCCGCGAAATCTTTGATAAACGAATTTTGATGGCATTGTCTATGACCAAATCACAATCACCGGTGCAATCACTGTGACTACTATCAATCGTTTCATCTTATGATTATGATTTAAAAGAAGCAATAAATTTCATATCTACTAATGGGTGTCAGTCACTTTACACCAGAGACAATATCCAGAGTATTTTTGCCTAATGGTATTATTCTCCGGAGATTTATATACATTTGGGTGTATATACTTTATATGTATTTTTTTTAATAATAATAAATTTATTTCCAAAACAATTATACATAGAAATTTACAGTACATGTTAGTTACAGGACAATTTTAGTCGTCGGTAATATCGAAATATCCATGTTCAATTAGTGAAAAACCCTGCCTTTTAAACTAGGTGACACCTGTATCTTAAAAGACAGTGTTCGTATGTAAAATATGTAAGTACCAGGATGGTACGGATTTGATATTTTTAATCCTGATATGGATACGAATTTAGAATATTATAATAATAAAAACTTGAAACATCTCATCGTCTGATTCTATAAATTAGGTAGAGCCTTTACTATCGTAACTAGAAACTTATCAAATCCGGGACAATTCTAGGACAACGGTGTCGGGTCGTGGCCATAGTAAAAATCGGTTGTCTGTAAAGTCGGTTTACTGACGATAGTTGAACGTGACAACGTCATAAGAAAATACTGATGGAATGGTTGCATTTTTCAAAAATGTATTATTGTATACGAGTAGCAGCTGTCCACGCGGACGCATCGCTCACTCAAGTAGGAGAGAGACAGATATCGAACGCTGCCGAACGCGGAGGCCGATTGTGCCTCTTTGTCGCTCGTTCCGCGCTCTCGCTTGCACTTCACGCCTTAATTGGAACGCCTCAGAGCGAGGTAACGCCGCATGAGTCGTGTTTTTTCGTGCGTGCAGCCGGCTCCATCGAATTATAAGACGTTGTCACGTCAAAAGTATCTTGGTTTTTTATTTTCAAAGGATTTATATTTGTATTTGAAAAGAAAAATGCCATTTATTCTCAAATACATACTTTTATTAGATAGTTATCTACGCACTTAGTAAGCACTCTCCTGCCGCGCGCCGCCCGCACTCACAGGCAGGCCAGCCGTGTCATTCATTGTTAGTTTATTTTGTTACAAAACTAGTAGGTTTTCAGAATTCGGGACAATAACAACACGGGACAAGACGCAAAATTCCGGGACAATCCCGGATTTCCGGGCCAGCTGGCAAGCCTAATCGTAACCATGCTGCCGATAAAGATACATAAACATAGTTAAATACTTCTAAATATATACATACTATAGATAAATTACACCAACACACAGACCATAAGTGATCGTGCACATCACACATATTTTCCTGGATGGGAATCGAACTCACGATCTCTGGCTTAAAAAAATCTTATAAACGGCTATTAATATAATTAATTATTTATTTTTATCAGTAATGTAATTCGGCACTATTTAATTAATTACAATAAAATGTAACAATCAATGATTAATTTATTACGCAAACAATGGTATGTTATGTGCGTTTAATTAAGCACAATAGGAAAACGATAACAAATTAATTAATTTAATTTTGTAAAATGTTTTTGTAGTATGGTATAGGAATGTGCTGATAAACTGAGTGGGCCTATTTATTGCAATCTTTCGTACGGAACGTGGGGACCTCTGGTGGCAGATAAAGCCTGAGGTAAGGCGTAGGTTGGCGGGCGGCCTAAAAGGTGGGATACAGGTTGGACTAACATTTTAGTCGGAAAAATATGTGCGTTTTAATAGAAAGAAAGAATTATGTACCTATGCATCTACAGCTTTCTCCTTCCTCCGAGCCTTTTGCCCAAACTAGGTTGAGGTCGGCTTTAAGTCTACTACGAGACGGCTGAACTTCGATTTTTTACGTGGAGCAACTGCCAGATCAGACCTTCACAACCCAAGTACTGTAGTAGTTCTGTAAAATACTGTTTTCGGACTTTTTTTGTGCTCTACCCGTAACAATTGCTAAAGATGTTCGTATGGCAACTGGAACCGACGGCTTTACGTGACCTGATGAACTGATGAACATCTATAATGAACTGAGGCCCAAGTGCGAGTTGTTTTTCAAATCTACTCGATCGTCACGGGGACCGCGTTGAGCGCTGCGATTGGCCCGCACTGAAATCTTAACCAATAGCAACGTCGAACGCGCTCGCTGTCGAGAGCGAATTGATGTAAACTCGCACTTGGCCCTCTGATACCTCAGACCCCCATAGCCAAATCACTGCACGCTTATCGATTTGTTAAATTTTTAAAAGTACAACAATGATACTTCCTACTAAAATATTAGTCATTCTTATAACAAGTTGATACACGAAACAACTAATACAGTATCTTGAAAGTTTCAAATAAGAACTTGTGTCAATTAATACCGGCTCGATCTCTTGGCGTTAAGTAGAGATGTAGCTTCGCTCTGCATTCTCTATCGCATATATCATGGAGAGTGCTCCGAGGAATTGTCCGGACTAATACCGGCCGCAACCTTCCGCCATCGTTCACACGGCAAAATTGTCATCCCCACCACTTGGATAATTGGCGCTCCACCACTGTGTCTCTAGACAGTTTTTCTCTCGCAATACCAATCTATGGAACAAGTTGTCGGCTGCGGTATTGTCGGGCCGATACGACCTTCAAACCTTCAAGAAAAGAGCGTACTCCTTCCTCAAAGGCTGGCAACGCGCTTGGGACTCCTGTAGTCGCTTTCCATCAGGTGACCCGTCTTCTCGTTTGCCGCCTATTCCATAAGAAAATAATAATAGGGGGTAGTTTTTAGACCTCGTCAAGGGTCGACGTCGTTTATGTCGACCGCTTTGAAACCGATTTCAACCATCCCCATTTCCCAAAGTAATTGATATTGACCACTTTGGGAATCCCTGTGTTAGATGGTTATTACTACAAGAACATTAATTATGTTTTTATTTACAGGTCATTAAAAATGGTTACCACGGGATGTAAGAGTGGATTGTTAATGGGGTTCGGCGCTGCGGCAGTGGTGGTGGGAGCTGTTATGGCGGTATTTTGGCCGCCGATATTCATAACACAATTACAACGGGTTTGTTCATTTATTTATTATTGTAAGATTTTTGTCGCTCTAAAACTAAAGTTTCTTAGAGAACGTACCCTTACTACGTAACCCATTCAGGTGTCTTTAAAATACCAAATTGGGTCACTTAGGGCTTAGAGAGATTGTTCAGGAGGGTTTGTATTATGTTAGAGGGGGTAAACAGGCAGACGTGTCATCTGATGGGAAGTGACAACCGCCGCCTAAGGAAACCTACTTTAAGAGTTACAGGTGCATCGCCACTCTTTGAGTGTTTTTCCCCAGAATATCTGGGAAATGTAGGACTTACTGTTACCCTATCCGTACACAAAAATCGATTTATTTTCATTGAATCCCAGTTTTGATTTCCAGTTTAATATTTATGGTGTTGGATTCCACAAAAAATTACTATGCAAGGGAATTGAGCTTTATTTTCATTGATTGACAAAAAGTAATGCTGTTGGATCCCAAATGTTTAAAAAATCTGAATGCAGATACTTATAGCAACAAAATTGTTTATAATAAAATGAAAGTATATTTTACATGGACTGAACAATAACATCGCTGTTCTGTCCATCTATTAACACACGTAACTATTGCATAAAAGAACTGTAGTTATTTTGTGTTAAACTTGATCAAATCACAAAGTACTATGAGAGATCAACTCCTATCTACTTCTTCATGAATTTTTTAGACAGAAAAGGTGATACGGTTCTTTTATATAATGCTCATCAACATAATATGAATTGTCCGTATGGTGACGGATTAAGAATACGGAATGTCACCATCCCTATTCATCCCGTGGGTGTCGTAAGAGCCGACTAAGGGAACAAACTACGCAGGACAACAGCACTGCAAAGAGAAGGAAAACTTGCAACAAACCCTATACCAACCCGTCTGGCCAGCGTGGTATAGTAGGCCAAAACCTCCTTTCTAAGGAGAGGCCTATGTCCAGCAGTGGACTATTATAGGCTGTTGATGATAATATGAAGAAACGAAATTCTTTTATCATAGTGTTGCAACATAGGATTAAATGATTCGATTGTATGAAATGTGGGGGACAGTGCCATCTAGTATCGACTAAAGTACATCTATTAAAATTGTGGTTAATACGAGTATTTCTGATCCTTACAGCGCTAGATGGCGCTGCAAGTAACGCGTGACTGATTCTGGAATATTCGTGTTTGTTTGGAACGGACTGTCGAATACTAGGAACTTTCTAGTAAAATTCAAAAGCGCTATAAAAGCGGAGCGTGTTGGCCGTTCGAGTGCGGAGCGACCCACACATCTCGGACGAGACACCAGGGCCTCAAATCTACTATTTTATGTTCACGCCAAGCCACTGTCATACCACTGACACGCTATTGAGATGCCATCAAGTGGCCATTGGCATCGGTATAAATATCGGTAGTCTACACTAACTCAGTGTCTAACTTAGAGGGGTTGCCAAGTACGAGGGAGCGGTTTTATGTTCGCGGAATGGGGGATAAGGGGTGGAAATAAAAAAACCAAATTATTTTTCCTTTTCAATATATTCACCAGCAAGACGGATACATTTTTCAGATCTTTCAATTAATTTGTTTATACCCTCATAAAAAATGTTTTCTCTTTGTCTTCCAAATACGCCGAAACTGCCTCCTTGACTTCATCATCGTTGGTAATTTTTTTACCCCGCAGCTCTTTTTTCATTTTTGGAAACAGGTAATAATCGCTGGGGGCCAGGTCTGGGCTGTAGGGTGGGTGATTCAAAATATCGAAGCCCACCTTATGCAGGGCAGCCAACGCAACGCGGCTCTTGTGGACGGGCGCGTTGTCGTGCAAAAGCAACACACCTTTTGTCAATTTGCCCTGTCTTTTCTCTTTAATGACTTCTTTGAGTCGCTCTAATATTGAAGCGTAGTATACTCCGGTTATAGAAACACCTTTATCTTTATAATCGATCAATAATATTCCTTCTGAGTCCCAAAAGACCGTTGCCATGAGTTTCCCAGCTGACTGTGACACCTTAAACTTCTTAGGAGGTGCTGTGCCCTTTTTATGCCACTGCATGGAGTCTTGTTTCGACTCAGTTCATAATGATGAACCCAAGTTTCGACTCCAGTAACAATTCTACTCAATACAGCATCCTTGTCTTCATTACAAAGGTCTAAAAATACACGTGAACACTCTACGCGCTGTTGTTTTTGCGTCGGCGTGAGCATTCTCGGCACCCATCTTGCACTGACCTTTGTCATGCCAAAATGATCGTGCAGAATTCTAAAAATGGTTGCATCAGATACTCCAACCATTTCTGCGAGTTGTTTCTTCTTTAGTCGAGCATCGTCGAGTACAATTTTTTCGACTTTTTGGATAAGTTCTGGCGTGATCACCTCGATGCTCCTGCCCGGCCTCGGGTCGTCTTCAAGGGATTCCCTTCCTTGTTTAAATAAACTGTGCTATTTGTACACCATGGTTTTTCCTAGACAAGAGTTGCCGTAAACCAATGACATCTCATTCATTATGGTCGCAACTGATTCTTTGCTTGGTAAGGAACTTTATAACGGCACGATATTCGATTTTTTCCATGTTTCACTTTTCACTCCCGATTATGTTGCTTGGTTGACCATAACTCAAAGACTAATTGTCTAATAACAATGAAACCTGGTATTTATACTAATTATGAGTCACTGAACACGTGACGATTCTAATGAGCCTAATCACCCCCCTCCAACCCTCTCATTCCGCGAACTTAAAAACGCACCCTCGTAAGTCGCCGCCTCTGTCGCTGGTCGCTCGGAGCTGGGCCTCCCCAGGTATCGGCTAAAGCCCCGATCCAGCCTCCACGCGTCCCCTACGGGACGGTGTGATGACAGCGCTCGTTCGACACAGTCTCGTTTTACCTAACATCGAATTAATATCGGAGTGAATTTCTAGTGCGATATACTCGTATAGTGATTTCTAGTTTATTATAGTGAGTGTTTGTAAATACAGTTAAATAAAGTAATTAACCGACAACTTTTATTCATTATATACCCCGCTCGTAACAATATCATAAAAATTAAACTTCTATATAGAGATGAATTAACCATCACCGCATAGAAAAATGCAAAAGAATACAGACACTTCATGTTTATACTTTTTTTCGTTTGTACATTTTTTATATTTCATAATGGTAAATCACTATTCTTCGGTATAGTACTCATGTTGTTGCAACACGGGATTCAATGGAAATAGCAAATCGGACCCAGCATTAATACCTAAAAAATGGGATCTTAATCTGGGCTCCAACAAAAATAAATCCCAAAATCAACGAAAGAATTGCTTCACAACGGTTTTCTGTGATGCTCTGGTATCACTCCAGTAGAGCCAGCAGTGATGAAGCTTGGCTCTCCCAAGAATGAATTTATAGTCTGCCAGCTTTTGGTCGTGGCTCCGTGGCGTGTATGTAGATTATGACGGTAAAAAACGAATAAATTAATAGTATTTATTTCTGTAATTAAATCTTTTCAGATATTTTACAAGTCGCTATTTACAGCTAGAAGGAGCCGGTATTTCCTAAGATGTGTCCTAACTTACTCGCCGATAATGTAGCTTTCCATTAAGGAAATATTTTTTGATGTGACAACGTCTTATAATTCGATGGAGCCGGCTGCACGCACGAAAAAACATGACTCATGCGGCGTTACCTCGCTCTGAGGCGTTCCATTTAAGGCTTGAAGTGCAAGCGAGAGCGCGCAACGAGCGACAAAGAGGCACAATCGGCCTCCGCCTTCGGCAGCGTTTGACATCTCTCTCTCTCCTACTTGAGTGAGCGATGCGTCCGCGTGGACAGCTGCTATACAATAATACATTTACATGTTTTCGTAAAATGCAACCATTCCATCAGTATTTTCTTATGACGTTGTCACGTTCAACTATCGTCAGTAAACCGACTTTACAGACAACCGATTTTTTAATTGCTTTAGTGGTTTAGGCGTGAAAGCGTAACAAACAAACTCACTTCCACATCCAGACTTCCATCGTCATGATCATCAACAGCCTATAACAGTCCACTGCTGGACATAGGCCTCTTCTTAGAAAGGAGGTTTCGGCCTAGTATACCACGCTGACCAGACGGGTTGATATAGCGTTTGTTTCAAGTTTTCCTTCTCTTTGCAGTGGTGTTGTCCTGCGTAGTTTGCTGTCTAAGTCGGTTTTTACCACACCCACGGGATGAATAGGGGTGGTGACATTACTTATTCCTAATCCGTCACCTCACGGACCAGACTTCCATACTAATATTGTAAAGGCGAAAGTGTGTCTGTCTGTTACATCTTCATTTTAACCGCTAAACCGATTTAGTTGGTATGGAGATAGTTTGATTCCCGGGAAAGGACATTGGGTAATTTTTATGCAAGAAATCATCCTTTAAGGGGGTGAAAATTTGGGTCGAATATTTAATTGAGAATCAATAACCGCTAAACCGATTTAGATGGAATTTATTATGGAGATAGGTTGATTTTTGAGGAAGGACACAGGCTATTATTTACCGCGATAACCGACATATACGCGGGCGGAGCCGTGGGTAAAAACTAGTATATTATCAATGCCAGAAGGGTTATGTTTTCAAGTGTATGAATATATGTCCTTGCCACGTTCACGTTGAGGTCCCGGTAGTCTTGTCATAATTGTGAGTGACACAGAAAAATTATAAAAATTAAAATGGCTGGTTTCTAAATTTAAAGTATACACTTTCAGTTGGATTTGTTTATTTAATTAATTCAAACGAGTTATCAATCCCAACAGTGGGAATATGCGTAAAACTAGTCCCTACCAACAACGCTTAATACAATATGTTTTTTGCTAGATATTAGCAGGCAGGGCAGGCATTAGCAGGCAGGGCAGGCATTACCAGGCAGGGCAGGCATTAGCAGGCAGGGATAATAAAGAGGCTTAAATGAAATTAAACTCATTATCACCAAGTACTCAATCACCCTAAATTGATGTAATTTATATTGTATAAGATTATACATAAATAGGTAAATTTGGGATTATCTAGAATTAAGATAATAAGTCGGAAAAATAACTTCATATTAAGGACTAAATAACCGACTTATCCAATATTTAAGCTTTGGACCTTAGTATTTCAAGTGTAGGAATTTCAAACACTACGTTTTTGACGATCTCTGTTGAAGCGTCTACCAAAGAACCGTAAACATAGGGGAGTTATTCCATTTTAGCTTATTTGACTGCCTTGGTTGTGACCAGTGGTAGCGTATTCAACTGCAGTGCTGAGGTCTCGGGTTCGATTCCCGGGTCGGACCAAGTGTTTGTATGATCTGCAAATATAGCTTTAGGAGTTTGAGGTCAGATGTCCGAAATATTATTATGATTATTTTATGTATGTATATTTTTTATTTTATTCTACAAAAAAAGGTACAAAACAGATAGCCAATCAAACATCACATAGTTGTATGCTAAATCTATACAAATAAATAAAATTGAAGTGTCTGTTTGTAATGTCAAATTAATAGGTTTTTTTCATGCTTACACGGTTATTTGCACGATACCTATACCTAAAAACCAATATTTAGTCTGTCTGTCTGTCTGTCGATTTGTTCCGGGTAATCTTCAAAACGGCTGGACTGATTTTGATAATATTTTACTACCAAGTAGCTGTCTATATAACGAGTTACTTAGGCTATTTTTTCTCTCAGAAAAACTTACAAAATTTTGCCTTTTTTTTGGGAATCGAACTCACGAACGAAGTCGCGGGCATCAGCTAGTACCTATGTCATAAATCTGCAGTCCAATTACAACTGTACACAGCGTTCAAAGAAATACAATTTGTTCTATCGAGTTGATAATTATGCGGATCAAATCAATATTCCTGTATTCTGTATCTGTATCTTGCTGTATTCTCTTTTATCCGGCTCGAAGGACCACGTTCAAGGTCTTTATAGGTAACGTATAAATATTCGATCAATATTCCTCATGTAACTAATTTACAAATTTAAAAACTAACCAGGTAGACAAATGAAGTAACAACATTTTTTTGGTTTAAACAAATACATCACAGCTTTACTTTACTGACGAGAAAACATTTCGAAGACATTAATTTTTTTTATGAATAATGACAGTTTGAGAGTATATGGCGTTATTTTCACTACACATTCGTAATGTAGGATTGTTTTAAAAACATGAAAAACTGCACAAACTGTCCATGTGGTGACGGATTAAGAATACGGAGTGTCACCACCCCTATTCATCCCGTGGGTGTCGTAAGAGCCGACTAAGGGAACAAACTCTGCAGGACAACAATACTGCGAAGAGAAGGAAGACTTGACACAAACGCTATACCAGTCAGGCCAGCGTGGTAGGACAAAACCTCCTCTCTAAGGAGAGGCCCATGTCCAGTAGTGGACTATTAAAGGCTGTTGATGATGAGGGCGTCTCGACCAGAGTGATTTCCAACCTCACAGAAAACCGGTATTGAGCAATTCTTTTGTGTCATTTCACTGGCTTAATCCTCTCCCACTAATCCTAGTGGTTCAGGGTCTTGATAGGTAACGTATCTTGCTGTATTCTCTCTTATCCGACTCGAAGGACCATGTTCACGGTCTCGATAGGTCACGTATAAATAAATAGGCAAAAATTTAGAGGAAATATTAACTGTATTGTGTTATATGTTACACAGACTGTGTAAGAGTATAAATTAAGTCAAATTTAACTTCATCAAAGACAGGCTTACAACTAATGATGCAACTAATTTTGATTGCTAGGAATCTTGTAGTAAGCGTTATTTTGCTTCAAATTGCACCTGTGACTTTTAAGAAGGTTCATCCAAGGTCGGCGGTAGTGACCTACTACCAATTGACTGGTATGATTGTTTGCCCACTATACCCTAAAAAAAGTTCTCTAGTTTCTGGTTGTTGTCGGTCCAGAGACCGCTCCGCTGTTAACACATTACATTCGCCAAAATACATATGGTTTTTTTTTTCAGATGATGGTCCTAACCAATGAATCTATGTCCTTCGAAATCTGGCGAGAGACTCCAATCCCCATGTATCTGGAGTTCTTCTTCTTTAACATCACCAACGTAGATGAGATGAAGTCAGGAAACAAGGATATCAAACTGAAAGTGGAACAAGTCGGGCCTTATGTTTTCAGAGAATCTCATATAAAGGTAAGTTGTTAAGAAATGGTATTATACAGAGTGTCACCGCCCCTGTTCATTTCGTGGGTGTTGCAAAAGTCTACTAAGGGAGAAAACTACACAGGACAACAGCACTACAAAGAGAAGGAAAACTTGAAACAAACCCTATACCAACTCGTCTGGCCTAAGGAGAGACCCTTGTCCAGCAGAGGACTATAAAAGGCTGTTGATGATGATGTTAAGAACTGCACGGATTGCGTAGTGGTTTAAGCGGTAACCTTGACCGTTTAACCACTACTCCTACTGCGCTGAGGCTTTGATCCCATATGGGCAACACTTTATGTGATGCGCAAATTGTTGTTCTGAGTCTGGGTGTGCCTGGGGTCCGTTTCATTAATGTCTATAAAGTCCCCCGCGACACCGGATATGTTCCTAGTGCGGGAGTTGTCTTTTAAATAGATTTTTTTTGGGACATAGACAGAGAATTATCTAGACGCTAAGCATAGCTTGCATTTTTAACCGACTTCAAAAAGGAGGAGGTTATCAATTCGCATGTTTATATTTTTTAAGTGAAAACTTCATTAGGCATTTTTGAACAACAAACAAAAGAATGTATTTTTTGAGATGGGAAAAAACCATTGAACTCGCGGCACTGTTACCGTTACCGTCACCTCTGTGTATAAGTATCTACTATGTTGAGTTTGGGTTGAAATATATTGATAATATAACTATATATAATATAAACATATATTGTGTATATACGTACAACATAGATATACAGGGTTACAAGAAAAGTCGTGCTAGATCCGTTAAGGGCGTGGAGTACCCATCATTTCTGACATATTTCACTATGAAACACCCTACCCTAAACTTAACCCATTTCGAGATAATCGTCTTTTAATTTTTTTATTGAAATTAGCTGATTTTTAGGCTACTACATTTATTTTTGTTTATTTTGTGTATCTTATTATTATTATTTTTTCATTTTTACATGTGTAATAAGATGCTTTAGGACGTCAGTCATTAAAATAGTTCATAAGTTAATTAAATAGATCGTAGTAGACAAGTGGAAGTAAAGAAATAAAAAAAAATATTAGAAAATTATTTTTCTCTAACGGATATCTAAAAAAAATATTATGGTAATTGTTCGGCCGATGTTTTTTAAAATATCTACGTTTCATCAGCTATCTAACGAGGTATAACAATCTAGGGTTTGTATTCAAGTTAAGACGCACCAAGCGAGCGAGACAAGTGACGATTTATGTAGGTGCGAATGAAAGAAAAAATGTGTAGAGACCGGTTAGGGCTGGGAATACAACAGGGGGCATTGTTTGGTTGTCACTAGTTGTCAGTCTGCTTTTGTGCTTCGTACATAGTAGATGTGAAATCGTTTTTCTTTTTTTCTCGACTTGGCTGTGATTCTGGACTATTTCTTCTGATTTGTGACTACTGTGCTTGTTAACCGGACTCTGATTTGTACCTGTGATACGGAAGTGTTGAAGATGACGTCCTACACACCTGAGGAATATGCTGATATGCTTATTTGTTACGGATACTGCGATTGTGTGTCTGCGCAAGCTCGCAACGAATACATAACTCGCTACCCTGGTCGTCGAGTGCCGGATGTGGCCGTTTTTGACAGAGTTTATCGAAGACTTCGAGAAACTGGCTCTGTTTTGAGACGAAATACAGACATGGGAAGACCACGAATTGACGACGAAGAACAGGACAATGAGATAGTGCAACGCTTTCGAGCGGATCCGACTACTTCCACTAATATTGTTGCCCGTGATCTGGGACTTTCGCAATGGAGAGTGTGGTTTACAGTGCATACTGCTGGCCTATACCCGTACCATTACACGCCGGTACACGTTATTGAAGAAGGAGACCCCGCGAGAAGATTGGACTTTTGCAGATTTATGCTAAATGCTGACGTAGAAGACCCAGATTTTCTAAGAAATATCTTGTGGACGGATGAGTCCAAATTTGATAAAGATGGCATAACTAACTATCACAACGCCCATTACTGGGCCCCAAAAGAACTAAGGAATAATAATAAGATAAGAGTGAATAAGAAAAGAGTGAAGGGGTCCCAACGAAGATTCAGCGTGAATGTGTGGATGGGCATTATCTTCAATCATTTGATTGGACCTTACTTTCTCCCGGATAATCTAAATGGGGAAAGCTACGAAAATTTCCTGAGAGCAGACTTGAGTGATTTGCTGGATGATCTGCCACTCAACCTGATCAGGGACATGTGGTTCCAACACGATGGCTGCCCTGCCCATTTCAGGAGAAGTGTCAGGGACTGGCTGGACACAAATTATCCAAACAAATGGATAGGACGAGGTGGGCCGTTGCCATGGCCAGCAAGAATTCCGGACCTAACCCCCATGGATTTTCATGTGTGGGGGTGCATGAAAAGTCTTGTGTACAGCGAGCCGAATCCAGTTTCGTCTGTGGAAGACTTACGAGAAAGGATTCTGGATGCAGCAAATAAAATGAGGACCACGTTGACCACTGGAGTAGTGAAGACTGGTCTCCGTAGAAGGATGCGACAATGTATCAGAAATATCAATGAACATGAACTGTAGAATAAGAAAAAGTTGTGTGAAAACCTTTAATAAATGACATTTCATGCTTAACTATTGTTTTATTTTATTGTTTGGGCTAAGTATAAATTTTCTTCTCCACTGTCGCCTATGAAACTAAAGTTTTTTCAATGCATTTGAATAAAACCTTAGATTATTATACCTCGTTAGATAGCTGATGAAACGTAGATATTTTAAAAAACATCTGCCGAACAATTACCATAATATTGTTTTTAGATATCCGTTAGAGAAAAATAATTTTCTAACATTTTTTTTTATTTCTTTACTTTCACTTGTCTACTACGATCTATTCAATTAACTTATGAACTATTTTAATGACTGACGTCCTAAAGCATCTTATTACACATGTAAAAATGCAAAAATAATAATAATAAGATACACAAAATAAACAAAAATAAATGTAGTAGCCTAAAAATCAGCAAATTTCAATAAAAAAATTAAAAGACGATTATCTCGACAAGGGTTAAGTTTAGGGTAGGGTGTTTCATAGTGAAATATGTCAGAAATGATGGGTACTCCACGCCCTTAACGGATCTAGCACGACTTTTCTTGTAACCCTGTATATTCATGTCGGAACTTTTCGAATCGAAAAAAAACAAAAATTTTGCCTGTTGACAAATTTTTACTTCTGTCGGCACACCCGGAGTGCCACTGCTTTTTATTTTATGTGTGTTCGATCATAACTTCGTCATACATAGACTTATCTGCAAAAATCTTTTTTTGTTTGAAAGGGGTTTATTTCGAAATAGTCCCATTTAAATTTCATATAGATCTGATAATGGGTCTCTTTAAAAATGACAGCAACTCAACCGCGATTACTGCCAGGTTTTTAGTACTCTTTGTTAGTATTGTTTAAAATCGGTTCAACTTTATTTTTATAATTATTTTATTTATTCTTTATGTAGTGCAGTGAACAAATGAACAGACGGAAACAGACGGAACTCCACTCACAGAATTACCATCAGGAAATAAATAATTATATTACAAACTAGCTGACCCGGCAAACGTTGTATTGCAAAACAAAAAAAAATTAAGGATGGGTCACCCTTACCATTTAGGGGTATGAAAAATAGATGTTGGCCGATTCTCAGACCTACCCGATGTGCACACAAAATTTCATGAGAATCGGTCAAGCCGTTTCGGAGGAGTACGGGAACGAACATTGTGACACGAGAATTTTATATATAAGATGTGAAAGTGAGTTAGTTCGTTTGTTACGCTTTCACGCTTAAGACGATTTTAAAATTCTTTCACCAATGGAAAGCTACATTATCAGCGAGTAACATAGGCTATTAATTACTGAGAAAACCGACACACATGCGGACGGACGGACGGACGCAAAAGTTAATATATTATAAAAAAAATGCGTTCGGACGAGTCCTGCTGCAGTTGGTGTTTTGATTTTATTTTAAATTTGCTGGTTCCTAGACCAGTACCAGTACATAACAGACTTTTAACTATTTATTTTGTGTTAAATTCTTGGATTTCCGCTTTAGAAGTATATTTCCGATGCTACAAAAATAAATCCTGTCTGTATAATTCTTTATAACAGACCCGTCCAATCATTATTGAAGGTCGCCTGATGATCAAATAAGACTAAACTTCATTAAATCTTATTTCAGTCAACTACCACCTTTCCACCTATCAGAATTGTTAGTTGAACTATCAGATCATCGATAAAAAAATTGCAAAAAACGAGGAAAACTTATTCCTTTTGAGAATCGCGGAAGACGTTGCGCGGCTCAGCTAGTCAAGAAATAAAAAGGAATAATAATCCATCCATCCAAAGGAATATACTTGTATTATAAATGTGAAAATTAGTTTGTTTGTGTGTTACGCTTTCACGCCTAAACCACTAAACCGATTTTAAAAATTAATTCACCTACTCTGGGAGGACCTGAACTATGTTATTTCAGGTCCTCCCCGAATTGACACCATGCCTAATCCGGCCCTATCACAGGGGAAAAAATCACTTCCCCCCTCAATCGCGACGTGGCGGCCAAATTTCGTCTTAATGCAATCAGGCCGCCATCCTATCCCCTATCGCAGCATTCAATCTGCCACCAGAGGTCCCCAATCGTCGCCGACGTCCTCTAGACCACTGCGCCTCTTAACACGATAACCTATACACAGCTTATATACCATATTGCAACATAATAGTCACTTATCAGAAAACAATGAACTCGTACAATCTATACTAATATTATAAAGCTGAAGAGTGTTTGTTTGTTTGTTTGAACGCGCTAATCTCAAGAACTACTGGTCCGATTTGAATAATTCTTTCAGTGTTAGATAGCCCATTTATCGAGGAAGGCTATAGGCACGGACTGCACGGATGGCGTAGTGGTTTAAGCGGTCGCCACGCTGCCTCCTACTACGCCGAGTGTTGTGGGTTCAAACCCCACATGGGACGACACT